CCCCCGAGACGGCCCCACGACGGCCCATGATAGCCCCAAGACGGCCCAAGGTCCCCAAGACGGCCCAAGAGGGCTCCAAGACGGCGCCGAGGGGCCCCAGACGGCGACCAACAATTCAAAACATCTAGCTGCCCGCCCCCGGGGGCCCCACGGGGCCCCAAGAGTGGACCAAGAGGCCGCCAGAGGCTCCCAAGAGGCCTCCAAGACGCCCCAAGGGGCCCCCAAGAGGTCCCCAGGAGGCCCCAATAAGACCACAAGAAGCTCCGAAACGGCTCCCAAGTGGCTTCAAAACTGCCCTCCAGAGGCCCCCCGAGAGGCGCGGCGCGAGATCCCGATGCACATGCAAGAAGCCTCTAACCCATAACCATGACCCAGAGCCTCCTCTCTGCCCCCCCCCCCCTCCTTCCCCCCCCTCCACCTCGGCCCCCGAGCGGCTTCAAAACTGCCCTCGAGAGGCCCCCGAGAGGCGTGCCGCGAGATCCCGATGCGCATGCAAGAAGCCTCTAACCCATAACCCATAGCCCAGAGCCCCCTCCTCTCTGCGCCCCCTCGCCCTCCCCCCCCCCCTCCCCCCCTCCGCCTCCCCCCCCCCCCCCCCCCCCACCCCCCCCTCCTCCCTCATCCTCTTCGATTCTTGCCCCCCCCACCCCCCTCCGCTCGCCCCCCCATGCTTCCCCCCGCTCTCCTTGTCCTCCCCAGCGCGCGCGCCCGATTGGTCATCATTTGCATGTCTTGCACTTCAGGGCGCCCTTCTTTTCGTCGCGCGCGACGTTGGTAGGGTCCACGGAGAACGCCGACCTCGGTAGTCTTCTCTTGCACGGGCCGCAACACTGATACGCCTGGCAACTGCGCGCTGAGAACCTCCCAAGAAGCCCCCGAGCAGCACCCAAGAGGCTCCAATATGCCCACCGGAAGCCCAAAAGCGGCCCCAAAACGGCCCCCAAAAGGCCTCAAAGTGCTGCCAAGAGGCACCCGAGAGACCTACCAGGAGCCCCAGGGGGTCGGCGGCGCGGCGCAAGCCAAATAATCGTAAGTTCGAAAGGCAAAGCCTAGGTACGCGCGGCGCCGTGAACGACGGCAATCGGTCGAGATCCGACTCTATCGACTGAAAAGATAGCACACCCGTGACCGCGGTCGAGCTGTTGACCTGTTGTTCCAATCCGGCTTCCCGCTGTAGCGCTCGCTCTTTTGACTTCTGCAGCGTGTCTTGATCTGCTTGAGCGGCAGCTACGTCTCGTTTGATGGCGGCCAACTCTGCTCTATGATCTTCCAGCTCTTGCATGTGCAGCTGGCGCCTTCGAATGAATTCTTATGATCGTTCAGGATGCTTCTGTGCCGTCATCTGCCTGTCCTGCTATTTTCATCGCTTCCTCTCTGTTGCGGTAGATGTCTTCAAGTATGCTTAGTTGCTCTGCATTTATGACGGGATCGCGTTGCTCCCTGGACTCATTGCTTCTGGCGCACTCAGAGCATCTCTCGGCCCCAGCGCCCAGGCGTTCTCTGCGCGCGGGTTTTCCACGACCCGCGCAAATCCCGATTGCAGGCTTTGAGCACTCGTGACGCGGCTCATCTGGCGCGCCCGCCCGAGGTCGGGTCGGCCTGGCCGCTCTCGCCCAGACGGGGCGAGCAACGATTGGGCCCGGGGGAGGCTCGACGCACGTCGGCTGCGCCGGCGTTGAGTTCGCCCGCCCCCGCAATCCAGCATCTCCCGGCTGGGCCGGAGGCATTAATCTAACCGCCTGCACAGCCGCGCTAGGCCGCCTTGTCATCGGAATCTTTTCCAGAGACTTTCTCGCAGTCTTATGTCGCCCCAAATCAGATTTGAGTATTCTGTTTTTCTTGCCCGCGGCACGGATGATGAATGCGTCGTTCTCGATGTGCTCATCTGCGCACCCGTTCGCGTGATTCCAGGCCTCTGCCATTCATATTTGGTCTTCCTGCTTCATGGCCTGGGCCTTCTGATCCTGCCCATGTAGTGCACGTGCCGCTTCTAGCAGTATCTTGTCGGCCTCGGGCCTAGCAGCATCGCGTTGATCACGGAGCTCCTCGTTTTCTTGCGCCACCTTCTCTCGGGCCATTCTCTCTCCTTCCCGCCCGGCTACATTAGCTACGACTTGAGATTCAACGCGCTCTTTCTCAGCCTGTAGTTGCGGCGATGGGATCACGTGTTCGGCCGCTCCCTGAATCCTCCGTTATTCTTCCTCCTCTTGCGCGAGGCGCCGCTGGGCCGCGCTCGCGATCCCTGCTACTTCTGCTTCTGCTTGTAATTTGCGTTTCTGGGCATCTTCTGCGATGGCAGCCTTTTCCTTGTTCAACTCTGCGCGCCGCTGCCCTCTTCTCCGCTTCGGATTCAGCGAGCCGGCGGTTGGCGTCTTCAATGGCCTTTGTCCACATGTGCCTGAAGAAGGATCTGTTGAAATTGTGCACTTGCTGCCCTCAGCTGCTCCCTGCCCTGCCTCTGTCCGTTTCTCTTCCCACTCGCTGTGGGCGATGCGACGACAGTGATGTTCTTTCATCGCAATGCATTCTTCGCAGGGCCACGACAAACTGCACTTCGGACACGCCTGAGAGCTTTGGGCACATGCGGGTGGGCCACAAGACCCCTCCGGCCTGCGTGCTTTACGCGGGCAACGATTCCCCGCCAGAGGCGGGCATCAAGGGCCCGCGTTCCAGCAAGTCCCCTGAATGGAGAAGCTGCCCGCGGTCCGGCGCGACGACGGGCGAGGGGGCTCAAGAGCATCAAATCTTCTGGAGCTGGAACGCCCCGCTCACGGGGCCTTTCCCCGACCCCTGCTGGTCGCTCTTGGTTTTCTGTGTATTTGGGGGTGGGGTCGCACCAGTCGGCCCCCTTGCACGTCGAGCCCGGCGCGCGGCGCCAGGTGAGCGCCCCATCGTCTGAGCCGAGGAGCTCCCTCTTCCACGGCCTAGTTCCCGGCTTTAGGGGGTCATTTCATCATCAAAATCGTGATCCGAATCAAGAACAGCTCTTCGAAGGGCTTCGGCTGGCTCGTGATCAACTGTTTCGGTATCCGACAGGTCCACGCCTGAGGCGAGCCCGTCGGGCGAGGTATGTAAGGGATTCGGGCGATACGATGGTCCAGGAGACGCATGGAAGCGAGCGTAGTCATTGTTCTTTTCCATTGAAGAAGGCCCTCTTCCTCCGATTGTCCATCGCTTTCGTCTTCGCCCTGCCCATTGATCATAAATTGTGTTTTGTGTTCGTTGATGTAACGATCTCCGCCCGCTGAGCTGGTGGGAACGTTTCTCGGCGGGCCTTCCGTAGTTCGTATGAACTAACTCCTAGGGCTTGAGTGCATTGATATGATGTATGATGGCCTTCCGTTGGTAGCATTGGCTGAGCTATGCCCTCTGCCTGGCGTTTGAACAGTTTCCTTAATATGATGACGTATAAAGGAACCTCCCTCTGTCAAATCAAACACGGATTCCGATGCTTTTCTTCCAGGAAGATTGAGAGAAAGAGGCCGCCCACTTGGGGCACCTCCCTTAGCAATACGATCGGGGCGATTTTGTCGTTCTATTTCTCCGAGCGCTCCTTCCTTTGGTCCCATGACCAGCGAAGCCAACGGCTGAGCCGTCGTCTGGATATTGACTATCCCTGCATTGTGTTCCGATGTCGTGTCGATTGCCCCTGAAGGTAACTTCCGTGAAGAAAGCTCATGGTGCTCCGCCGAAACCGTGGCAAGGAAGGAGTGTTCCGTTAACCGGATAAGAGACAAATGTGTGGTAGGGAGGAGGCCGGCCGGCCGACGACACGACGACGATGGGGGGACGACCCCATGCGCGCGCAAGTGAACTCGTTCCTTTTTCCTATACCTTTCGAGTCTGAGTGGCTGCAGGCGGACAATCAGTACAACAGCAGTGATGGCAAGGGCAACAAGATGGTGGTGCGGAGAGGAGCGTATTAACTAAGAGAGACCCCTCCCAAAAAGGCCCAAGTTGCCAGAAGAGTTCCCCAAGAGAGTCCAAGATGACTGCAGCGGGCACAGCCTCCCAAGTGGTTTCCCCCAGCATTGGGGCAGCACGCAGTCCACCAGCATGCCCGCACCTTCGCTCACCATTTCAGCACGCAGGCGATTCCAGAAGGCAGGGCGCAGCGGTGATTCCCCATAGGCATCTTAGATTATAGACTGCCCTTCGCCAGTGAAGAAATCATGGGTATGGCGGTCCCGCGTGTAGCTCTTGCATGTCGCGCTCAGATCCGCACTCCGTGCGAGCATATCTCAATACAGTCGTGACCTTGCCATCCCAATCGTGCAAAAGAGTGCAAGTCTGAAAGGGTGGCGACACCTACAACCAAAACTGATAAGAAGGATGCGCGACAAGTATGCAACCCCCCTGGACTCCCATTTCGAAGCTTTCCAAGCGGGGCTGGCCATTGAAAGGGGTTAACGATGGACTGAGGAGGCAAGGATACGAGGGTAATTAACCTTGGGAATATTACACGTCCTCATCATCGGTTTGTACTTTGGCGTCCCGCAGAAGCTACACAATATTGTGTTGCACATACGCTTCGGCCTCCCGCATGCCTCCCTGCCCCCGCCCTTCGAGAGACACTAGCATCCGCCTCTTCGACCCTGCCCGGGCCGACCCTGGGGCCAGGACCGGCGCACCTGCTTCCATGGCCAGGCCAGGAGGGCGTATGCATCGATCCAGGGCCGGATGGGCCTGGTTAGGGCCAGTGAGGTGGGCAATGGACATCCCCCGATCACTTCCGCCTCCATCCGCGTTTCACCTGGCACCCACGTCGCTCGCCTCCTGATGCTCTCCTGCATCCCGTCACTTCCCTCGAGCGGCCCCGACGAGGTGTTGCTGGACTGGCCAGAGCAGTGCCAGCCAGCGTCCAAGCGTTTGCCTTCTGCCCTGGCGGCCCGCTATTCGCACCAGGCCAAATTGAAGCCTCCGATAACGAATCTGGAAAGCCTCGGCGGGCGCGCGAGACGGCCTCATTGTGGGCCGCTTTTGCTCCAGACCCGGGCGGCCTGTAGGCGTGGTACCCGTACTGGCGCGCGACCTTGCCCGCGTTCACCTGCAGGCCATGCCCATGCCTGTGGTTCTGCACCCACTGGCCCTTGTACGAGTAGCCGTCCTCGGGGGATGGGGCGGGCGGCGCGGAGTCGGAGCGCCCTACGCCAGACATGCTCCCGTCATCAAAATAATGCGAAAAGTTTGGGGCAATGTTCAGCCTGCTGGGCCCCAGAGCCGTCAAAAAACAGCTCGGGCAGAAAACCTGACCCTTGACAAAGGGTGTGGACTTCCGGGGACCGCGTCTCGAACCAAAGAAAAGACATCGCATGTCTGCGTCGGCTGCGCGCAAGAACGATCCTGGGCAATAGTGGCCCTTGGTAAGCGGCTCGCCGATCGATGCATGCAATCCGACAGTAGCGGCCTGCGCTCTTGGGCTTTGTCCCCTCCCCCCCCCCCCTGAAAGCTAGCGAAAAATCACTCTTCTCAAATTTGCGATGTTGTGACTTGTTCGATACGGTGCCCACGAAATTCCGACCCTTTTCCCTGGGTTAACGTTTCATCTCGAGTCCGTTTCTGACAATCCCGAATCCAGGCGGTGACCGTTTGTCTTAATGTTTTCCCGAGGTAACGGCCGTTACCCGGGGGGGTGGGGTGGGGCGGGAGGGTAACAGTAACGACGGGGTCGGCGTGCGCCCGCCAGGCTGCGTCCGCGCCACCAGCGCATCAATCGCACGTGTTCACTGCATTTCCTGTGCACACGACAATGCCCAATGCCTGCGTGCAATACTGCGCCACCTGTATACACACCACAATGCCTCCGTACACCACAACAGCCGCGTGCACTGCAGCCCCACGTCGCCCATGCCCACCGCAGTGCCTGAGTATACTGCAGCAGCCGTTGTTTATGATAGGATTCTACAGTCAACAACTGTCTAACATATGATTATCAAAAGAAGTCGTATGGAAAATTGCGCGCCTCTGGATTTATTTCACACAACCCCATGTTTCAAGAATGATGCGAAAAAAGAATCGCTATGGAAAGCGGAGCGCCTCTGGACTCCATCAAAACACTTTAGCTAAATAAAAATCCCTCTGGAAATTTGGGCGCCCCTGGATTCCACAGCAAACAAACGTTTTATATATACGTTTTGAAACATCTCTATGGGAAGTGGAGCGCCGGAGGATTCTACACGCGTGCAACACAACGCCTGCGTACACTAGAACGCCTGCGCACACCACAACAGCCGCATGCAACACAGCGCCGATGTACACCACAACGCCTGCACCAGTGCTTGCGTACACCACAGCGCCTGTTTACACCGCAGCAGCCATGTGCAACACAGCGCCAGTGTGCATCACGGTGCCTGCGTGAACCACAGCGCCCGCGCACACCACAACGCCGGCGGGAGAAGGCGCGGGGCCGCCCAGTCTTCATCTTCTCCATGGCGCTGGGTCTACAATCGATGCGTGCATTGAGGACGGGCGGTAAGGACTCAAGACCCTTGGAAGCCGAAGTTTGGTTTTTCTGGCAAAAGCTGGCCCATGAAAGTGGCAAAGGACAAGCCGCAGAGGCAAAGATACACAGGAGAAGGCGCGCATCCTTTTTAGGCGTGTTGACTGTGTCGCACTGCAACCGAGCACCGGCTAGAAGGAAGAGAGGGAGCCACCGCATTTTGCACCCGCGGAAGAGTGGTCGAACCAGCCTGCGGTAGCTGAGCCATCGCCAGCTGCATTGGACGACTATGACGACGACGACGACGACGACGACGACGACGACGACGACGACGACGACGACGACGACGACGACGACGACGGCGAGCGCCACAGCACGTTTGTGAGCACCAATTCGTGCCGTTCAGACCCTGCCATGCCAATGAGCACAGCGCCATACCTGCGGGGGGTCCGCTCCCAGCATGTAGCGGGGGGGCCAGGCCCCCCCTACCCCCCCCACAACACGATCGTTAGCGCTACCCGGGGGGAGGTTGGCCCAGGTAACGAGCGTTACGCCGGAGAGAAAAAAAACGCTCACGCGAGGGCTCCCGGAGGCCGAAAATGGTATGATTTTCCACGACGCGAACATGTCCAGGTTACGCATCGCATTCGATGTCCCCCCCCTGGGGGCGGGGCCTAGAAGACAGGGGCGGGCGGGCCAGGGCCCCTCCCTGGGCGTTGCAGGTCGGCGGCCGTCGGCGGCCGTCGGTGCCAAGATGCCTCGACGGTCGTCGGCAACAGGGGACGGTGAAGACAGAGAGGGCCAGAAATAGGTTGTGAGGAGCGAGACGGTTCACGTGCATCCTGAAGGTAAAGGTACCACCACCACCACCACCACCACCACTACTACCACTGGCACGGTTACCACTACCACTCGTAGCAGCAGCAGTGGCAGTGCACCAACCACAGGCCACAACATGGCACCATGTAGGGAACCAGCAATGCCAGCCGTAGAGCACCACAGGGCACCGACCACGGGGCGCTGGCCACGGGGAGCCACAGAGCGACAACCTCGGGATGCCGTCCGCGGGTCACCATGCGCAGGCCACGGAGCACCAGCCTTCGGGCACCCGCCATGGGGCACCGCATGTCGCAGGGTGCCATCCGCAGGGCACCGACCACCAGGCAGCGCGGGGCACCGCCGACCGCGCGGGGTACCCACGCCACGCAGAGCAGGCTGCCAGCCCATCCGTCGCTGCCGTCCCGCTGCGAGCGGGCGGCCGCCGTCGGTGGCCAGCGGCCGCTTGCCAGCGGCTCCGTAACTCACGCGGTGAGCATCAGACCGTTCTGCCTTGGAGCTCGGGCCGCACGTGGCGATGCCATGCAGCAGCCGCGAGATCCGCGCGGCGTTCTCCAGGCTGCCCCTGCACGCTGCAAGCCACGAAGGCCGAGTGGGCCACGAAGCCACGCCTGCCCCACGACGGTGACGGCGACATGCTCCCAACGCGTGGCCGCATGGATCTGCTGCATTACTCAATACTGGTGCGTCTCCCGATAGCCTGTTCAGGAGGAGGCAGGATAGGATAAAGATATGGACGAAAGCTAGCCTGCACCACAACGGAGCTGGACTGCAACACGGAGCCGACACCTACGACTTGAAGATGCAGCTGAGGCGCCTGCGGAAGCACGGGAAGTACCAGATGTATGGAGCGCTCCTGACGGCAGCGTGCGCAGGGGCATGGTCACCGCAGAGGAGGAGAGACACCTTCGGCGAGGACACGTGCAACCTGTGCAACTGCGGGGCGATAGCGGACGACTACCACATCGTCTGGGGTGACTGCAGCTGCAGGAGTGAGCACGGCATCTTCAAGAAGACAGAGAACTTGGTGCGACGAGCTGAACAAGGGAAGGAAGAATGGGCAGCATTCTGGCTGAGGGGTATCACGCCAAGTACCTGGACTACTCCACCAGCGTGCGAGACGGAGTACAGCGCTACCAGGACGGGCAAGGCCACAGACACCACCAACGAGGAGCAGGGCAACAAGCTCTACCTGTACGAGGATACCATGATAGTGTGCGGTGACGGAAGTGGAGGAGGGCATGGAGGCGATGCGAGATATCGAAGATGCGGTTGGAGCTGGGTGGTGATGGAGAAGATACAGCACCTGGGACGCCACGGCGACGGTCGCAGGCCCACTCCCAGGGCCAATGCAATCCAACAACAGGGCGGAGATCACAGCCTTCCTGGACTGCTTGCAGACGACGGAGGGCAGCCTGATCTTCTACACGGACTCAGAGATTCTCTGCAAAGGATGGCACAGCAAGAAGTACCTCATCACGGGATACAAGAATGCGCATGTAGACCTGTGGAAGGAAATACGACAGAGATGGCCACAAGAGGTCGAGCCGAAGTGCGAGTTCGTCACATCGAGAGCCACATATCCAGAGAGCAGGCGACGGAGAGTGGAGTGAGGATCGAAGCCTGGAAGGGCAACGAGAAAGCGGACCAGCTTGCAGGTGAAGCGACAGCCAGCCACGGGATCTCAGAGGCGCAGATGGGATGCTACAGATGGGTACTTGCGACGTCGCACCTAGTAAGAACACGAATAGGAAGGGCCTACCAGGAGCACTTCGAGAGGGTGAAGCCGATGACCTGGGAGGAAAAGGACGAAGCCAGAAAGAAAAGAATGCACACACAGGAGACAATGAAGTACGAGGACCTGATAGCCAATACGCCGCACCTACTAGTAACAGAATGAAGGTCATGGCGATGCGCTAGGTGCTGCGAGTCAGTGGGGCGCCACCAGCGACCCCCAGCTACGATGTGGTGGGTGCAGAGGTGCAAAGGAGAGGCGGCATGACAAAGAGAGCGGCAAGAAGGAGCAAACATGTGCTTGATGATGAAAGGGACGGCCTCCCACGCGTCACACAGCATATGCTGGTGAAGACACCAGAGCAAGCACTTCTGCTGGAGCTGCGGGGCCACGGCGGTGAAGCACCTGAGCCACAATATGATCGACAAATGCGAGGGCTGGCCGCCAGGACGAGCTTCTAGATACGCGTTGGAGGCGCTGAGGAAGAAGAAGGACTGGGCAGTGGGAGCAGGTGCAAGGTGGAACAAGTCGTCTAAGGCCAAGTTCGCGAGAACGCAGAGCAGCGCCCTGGACCCCGCCTCGAGAAAGACGAGAGCCCACGTCGTTGGGCGCCAGGAGAGCATGTATGATAACCAGGTGAAGTTCACGGAAGCCCAAGTCGTGAAGCAACAAGAGAACATAGACGACAGCCAGGTGAGGTCTACGGAGACCCACGCGGTTGAGCACCAGGGGAGCATGACGAGTACCAGGGGAAGGACAGCAGCCGCCTGGACGACCGAGGCAGCGTTCAAAGGGGGACTGCGAGGAGGCCAGCCGCAAGATCCCCGTGGTGCTCAACTGAAGCGGCGGCTGCCGCCAGCCGCCTCGCCAGTCGATCGACTGTCAGACAATTTCGGGAAAAAAATTAGGGAGAGGCAGGTGCGTGAGGTGCCTGGGGGAGGAAGAGATGAAGACAGGAGAGACACTATACGGGATGGAAACAGGGGCTTGCCTCCGAAAAGGCCAGTCTAAGATGGACTGAGGAGGGGGATCGGAGGATGAGGACGAGAAAGAGGAAGAGGAAGATAAGTCGCAAGGAAAGGATGAATACGGTGAG